GATAGATAGATAGATATATTACAGCCAAAGAATGAGACAGATAGATAGATAGATATATTACAGCCAAAGAAGTGAGATAGATAGATAGATATATTACAGTCAAAGAGTGAGACAGATAGATAGATAGATATATTACAGCCAAAAAGTGAGACAGATAGATAGATATATTTACAGCCAAAGAGTGAGACAGACAGATAGATATATTACAGCCAAAGTGTGAGACAGATAGATAGATAGATATATTACAGCCAAAGAGTGAGACAGATAGATAGATATATTACAGCCAAAGAGTGACTGTAATATATCTATCTATCTATCTGTCTCACTCTTTGGCTGTAATATATCTATCTATCTATCTGTCCCAAAGAGTGAGACAGATAGATAGATAGATATATTACAGCCAAAGAGTGAGACAGATAGATAGATATATTACAGCCAAAGAGTGAGACAGATAGATAGATAGATAGATATATTACAGCCAAAGAGTGAGACAGATAGATAGATATATTACAGCCAAAGAGTGAGACAGATAGATAGATAGATAGATATATTACAGCCAAAGAGTGAAATAGACAGATAAACAGTCAATAAGTGAGGCACGTTGATAGAAATAGACAGACAGACAAAAACATTGACACTAGCCAAAGAGTGAGGCGGATAGATAGATAGATTTAAAGCCAAAGAGTGAAGTTTACATTTAGATAGTCAGATAAATAGAAGGATAATCTTCTTCATGTTCACTCAGGATTATGTACGTACTTTTCTATAGTAAGCTACGAAATATAGATATTATTTTTGTTACTATTAAACATATGCTTGTCTCATGGCCATCAAATCAACGTGTTCTTTTGCTTTTATTCTTAGGGCCACAACGCTCGAACTTCTAAGGTCCATTTTGTTAGAGTCAATGCCTTTCAAGCTCGCGCAACTCACTGATAAGTTCAGAGGAGCAGGAGAGGATCCTAAGTTTCCCGGAGGACCGGGAAGGTTTTCGGATGGTAGACCGTTCAGTGTAGCACAGCAGGGAACCGTTACTACTGTCGGTGTTGAGGGCGTCACATAACTCTGACACCTGGCGGAGGAAGGAGCAAGCAACGAACACGAAAAAGGTGGCCCCATTATAGGAGGACTAATCCAAGAATCCAATGAGAAGGGCTGAAGATTTGTTCCTGTCAACACGGACGAGGAGTTTGATCCAAGAGTTGAAGGGAGTACGGGGACAAAGCTCGGGGAAGCGGCACGAGTCATTCCGAATCCGGAGAAGGGGCAGTCAGGTGGCGATCTGGTTTGTCGTATAGATGGAAATGAGTTCCCGCTCTCAAGCTTCTCCTGGCGGCGCCACTTGGCTCTGCGGTTTTGGAACCATACCTGAAACCAACAACAACAGGAAATGATTTTATCTTCATTACGTTTATACATATTTATATTTACAGACTTTACAAAGGAAGCCTTTTTTTTAAATTTACAACAGAACATTTAAAAACATTCATATTACTGCATGTACCTGATGATGACAAAACCTTTTCGAAACGTTGTACATTTGCTGTTATGTTAAACTTATATTAAAGTTTTTCTTCATTACCCATTCAAGCCGTCTCCAGCCATTATTAGTCTCAAAGTGGGTTCCTCGTCATCGTATTTTCCTCAGTATTTATGATTTCGAGTCATTTTCGAATTCCAGAAGTTAGTATCTTCCAACACACTGATCATAATATCTTGTACTTTAGGGCCTGCTTCTCCTATACTTTAATAGTTAGTTAGGTTTCAAGTTGCAAAAGATATTTTCTGCGTTATATTCATTATGGGTTTCACTTTTCTTGAATATTGAATTATGACTTTATTTCCTCCTGGTCAATTTTTGATGTAGATTTCGCTTCATAAACTTATTATATTTAATGTTGTTGTTTTACATCTGAGCCGTAGCTTGATTTTGATTACAATTGATTAAGTATTTGCTGACTTCTTGTTGATCTATTATTGTTCTTAGCTTATACAGGTAACGTTTTGGAAGCCAACTATAATTGTTGTTATTTCTACTTTCAGACTGCTTAATCATTTAAGATTAGCATAGAGTCCATCTTAACATGAGTAGCCCAGTTATGTAGTCCATTTAAACATGAGTAGCCTAGTGATGTAGTAATCCATCTTAACATCAGTAGCCCAGTGATGTATATAATCCATCTTAACATGAGTGGCCCAGTGATGTAGTAGTCCATCTAAACATGAGTAGCCCAGTGATGTAGTAGTCTATCTTAACATGAGTAGCCCAATGATGTAGTAATCCATCTTAACATGAGTAGCCCAGTGATGTAGTAGTCCATCTAAACATGAGTAGCCCAGTGATGTAGTAGTCCATCTAAACATGAGTGGCCCAGTGATGTAGTAGTCTATCTAAACATGAGTGGCCCAGTCATGTAGTAGTCTATCTAAACATGAGTAGCCCAGTGATGTAGTAGTCCATCTAAACATTAATAGCCCAATGATGTAGTACTCCATCTAAACATGAGTAGCCCAGTGATGTAGTACTCCATCTAAACATGAGTAGCCCAGTGATGTAGTAGTCCATTTAAACACGCCATACCTTTGATAGTCCCATACATCATCTACTAATGTTCAGAGAGCAAACATTAATATTTTCAAATTAGTTGATCCTTCAGTTAGTAGAGATGCGTTAATAGAAATGTATATCTATTGACAGAAACCAGATTGAAACAATTTATCACTATTTCATATTATCATGCTTTCATTTGTACGGCTTTTAAAGTGTTTAGTTACAAAGCTGGGTCTTATCTTTCTTTTATGATGACATATAGCATTTCTGGTTTGGATCCACTGTCTAGACTTCTAAATATCGACATTTGATAACTTCCTGCTCAATGATGTAAGAAAGTAATGTCAAGATATCCTATATGATTCAACAGCTGGTAGGCTTGTCACCTCTGTTTGTTACCTCTTTACTGTTGCTAGTAGGCTTGTCACCTCTGTATGGTTACCTCCTTACTGTTGCTGATTGGTTTGTCACCTCTGTTTGTTACCTCTTTACTGTTGCTAGTAGACTTGTCACCTCTGTATGGTTACCTCCTTACTGTTGCTGATTGGTTTGTCACCTCTGTTTGTTACCTATTTACTGTTGCTAATAGGCTTGTCACCTGTGTATGGTTACCTTCTTACTATTGCTAGTAGGCTCTTCACTTCTATTTGTTACCTCTTTAAAGTTGCTGGTAGGCTTGTCAACTGTGTGTGGTTACGTCCTTACTTTTGCTGGTAGACTTGTCATGTGTGTGTGGTTACCTCCTTACTGTTGCTGGTAGGCTTGTCACCTCTGTGTGGTTACCTCCTTACTGTTGCTAGTAGGCTTGTCACTTCTGTTTGTTATCTCTTTACTGTTGCTGGTAGGCTTGTGAACTGTGTGTTGTTACGTCCTTACTTTTGCTGATAGGCTTGTCACCTGTGTGTGGTTATCTCTTTACTATTGCTGTTAGGCTTGTCACCTGTGTGTGGTACCTCTTTTTTATACGAATGTAGGTATTCAGTGTTTGTTTGGCCACAAAGAAAACAGGGAAATCTGCTTGTTTTACTTTCAACATTTTGGACACTGGTTGGCCCTGTGGTAGAGCTCTGGGTAGAGGTACATCATAAGAATGATAGTCAATCCCTCAGCATGTATTGTGGGTGGTAAGGTGCAGCTTGACTGGCTGCCTCCCCTTTTGTCAGTTGTTCAATGTTAGGGAGTGCAGCCAGTAGCCTTAACCGCTTTACCATAAATGTAAAATACTGCATACCACATAATTATAAGTATATTAATACGTCATAATGGGATTTTAGTAACCTCTGACTGGTTCTATTTTTCCACATGCTAACAAAAAGGGTGAAATTCATGATGAAGAAAAAGAGTAAAAAAATTAAAGTTTAACTACAATACAAAATATGGGAACATTTATGAAACACTAAGCGATCAAATGATACGTTACTTATTTTACAAATTTATATAGAAAGTACAGACATGAAAATTACATTTATTACTGTTAGGAAAAAACTTGATGAAGTCAGCGCCCGTATTATTATTAACATTAACATTGGTATTTTTACTGTTTATTACACATATTACATCATATTAATCTCTATTTCTCGTGTGGTTTCAAAAAATTGTACAAAATCAACATTGTTGTTTACCTACTACTGAGGAGCAAAATATCATAAATGTAACTTTCTCTATCTATCACACACTGTTCTTTTATGGTATAATACATTGTTCCTTTATGTTATAATACTCTGTTCCTTCATGTTACAACACACTCTTCCTTAATATTACAACACACTGTTCCTTTATGTTATAATACACTGTTCCTTTATGTTATAATACACTGTTTCTTTATGGTATAATACACTTTTCTTTTATGGTTTAATACACCGTTCCTTTATGGTATAATACACTGTTACTTTATGGTGTAATACACCGTTTCATTATGTTATAATACTCTGTTCCTTCATATTATAATACACTATTTCTTTATGGTGTAATACACCGTTTCTTTATGGTGTAATACATTGTTACTTTGTGGTATAACACACTGTTTCTTTGTAGTGTAATACATTGTTACTTTGTGGTATAACACACTGTTTCTTTGTAGTGTAATACATTGTTACTTTGTGGTATAACACACTGTTCCTTTGTAGTGTAATACATTGTTACTTTGTGGTATAACACACTGTTCCTTTACGTTACAACACACTGTTCCTTTACGTTACAACACACTGTTCCTTTACGTTACAACACACTGCTCCTTTATGGTGTAATACATTGTTATTTATGGTATAACACAACGTTTCTTTATGTTATAATGCAGTGCTCTTTTATGGAATAATATTTTCTTCCTTTATAGTATAATATACTGCTCCTCTAGGTAATAATAGACTGTTCCTTTATGACATAAAAAGTTTGTAGGCTGTCAAAGTTTATATTAGTACAATAATTCATTTAACAAACTTTTCTGTAGTAAATACCCCACGATTATACATAGTTTACTTCTGGTTCCGTAGCTCGTTGTAACTGTTGATAAGGTACTTTAAAGCTATTTTTACTGTATTGTTTTCAATGGTTCCAAACAATTTTTAAACAAATTAATTTTGGTAAGCCCATTACGCACAGTTTATATCACCCCTTGTTTGTGATTCTACAGCATATAACATACAGTAAATCTTTATGACTTTCCCTAATATCTACTTCTACAACATCTTTTTGAAACAACTCGGAATTGTTAAACAGGGAAGTATCTTTCAGTAAAGGTCATCAAATGTAAATAAGACGGCATGGCATGGCTTAGTGGCAAGGACGATCGATTTGCAGGCTGAGGGCTGTGGGCTCAAATTCACGTCATCCAACATGCTAGCCCTGAAGGGTTGCTGTCAAAGCCAGCTACCCGAGTAGCCGACCCCAGAGCTAGATGGAGTCGAATGAAGAAAAGAAATAAGAATTGACATTAAATGCAACAGGTTCCTTCTACCAAATAATCAGACCGAGTTTATTAAAACATACATAGCTCAGCTCTGAATTCCACTAGGTGTTCATGGTATAAGGTTTCTTCTACCAAATAATCAGACCGAGTTTATTAAAACATACATAGCTCAGCTCTGAATTCCACTAGGTTTTCATGCTGTCACGTTCCTTCTATCTAATGGTCAGACAGAGTTTATTAAAACATAGCTCAGCTCTGTATTCCACTAGGTGTTCATGGTATAAGGTTCCTTCTATCTAATGGTCAGACAGAGTTTATTAAAACATAGCTCAGCTCTGTATTCCACTAGGTGTTCATCGTATAAGGTTCCTTCTATCTAATGGTCAGACA